ATATATATATTATTTTAATGAATTGTTCAAGGCTATTGTACGAGCCTCTAGCCAACTTCATGTGCCTAATTATTTGAGGACCGCCCTCACTACCGGTAAACACGTTAGAACAGGATTCGACCAGATGTCTTGAGAGGATTTAAGACTTCAAAGAGATTGTTCTACCAACAGGCAATGGCTGGCGGCACACACATACACAGATATATATTTATATATATATATATATATATTGCATAAAGGAACTCATAGTGTCTCCTTACATGTTAGAATAAGAAAAAAGGTTACAAGATCCTGCATATAATGGAGACTAGGTTGATTCAACACAGGAATCAACACATCTCCCAAAAAAATCCAAGAGACCTACAAGGTAACAAAACTAAGTTTGTTCAGAACAAAAGAACCCCTTAAGCTCAATGGAAGCTGCAAATGAAAAAAAAAATAAATGAGAACAACAGCTGACAAACTATCTCCAAGGATCTTGGTTAGCTATTCTGAAGTGTGGAACCTCCAGCATGTCTCCCTGCAACAGAAACTGAAGGGTAGGGGGGCTGAGCAGCAACTGTTAAATCATTAGAGCTTAGGCTTTATCTGGCTAGCCAATTTGCAGGCTGGTTCCCTTCCCTATATATGAAAGAAAAAATGATATGGGACTATGAAGTTGCGTTTCTGATTTTTTGAATCCAATATGAGTGATGCCATGGTGAATCCTCAGCATGATTCAACATTTTAATCACAGCTGCAGAATCCACTTCCATCCATAAATTATACCATCCAATTTTTTTGGCAAGGGTAAGAGCCCAAAAAACTACAATCAGTTCAGTTTCAATAACATCAGCAGCCATAACAGGAGTATAGAAATATAGGAGCCATTTTCCAAGATGATTTCTAGGGACTCCCCCCACTCCAGCACCTGTTTTTTGTAAAACTTCCATCAGTATTTATCTTCACAGTGTGATGTTCAGGAAGTTTTCAAAAAACTTTTTGAATTTGAATAGTATCAATCTTTTCAGAAGCATAGGTATTTGAGATGCTGGGGAATCTTTTAAATTTGATCATCTTGTTTAAGTAAGAAAGACAGTTTCTAACAGTCTTCTCAATGTTTGGTGTGTTGTCTTCAAACTTAGCCTTGTTTTTTTCCATCTAAATAAACCAAGAAACCATAAGTGGTATTGAAGCATAATTCCTCTTGTGTCAAGTCTGTCAGTAGGTAGTAAGCCTATCCCAGCATAAAAGATTACCTTCAATGTTCAGGTGTATCAACAGCTTATGCCACAGTTGTTGTGCAAAGGCACATTCAAGGAAAAGGTGAAACATTGATTCCTCTTCCTGCAGACAGAGCCAGCATTTAGAGGGTCCTCTCAAGCCTTTTAATTTGAGAATATCATCAGTTGGAAGAAGCTTTTGGAATATTCTCCAGCAGAGGAAAGACATTGATGAGGATAAAAACTTATTCCAAACAATATCTCCCCAAGACATTTGTTCCCAACTACATACTTTTGAGTAGATTGCTTTAGTGAGACTTTATTTAGAGAAGGCCTGCCAAATAATTTTATCATTTTTGCTTCTATTAATTTTAATGCTAGCAACTTTAGTGACTGAGTGAGCTTGCAGAATATTGGACAGCTTGAGTATAGACTACTCATCTCCTTCCCATCAATCAACAACTTTTAAGTCTTGGTTGGTGGGATTGGTATGTGGGGACAACCAATCTTTAGGAAACCGATTATTAAGCCAAAAGTTGATGTCACCCTTCCCCAGGTCCCAAATAAACAAGTATTCAGCAGTTTGCCTTATGTTCAGGATCTTCACCCAAATTTTGGAGTCTGCATTTTTCCTGTCAACAAGTGTAGGATGTTGGTCCCTACAATATTTACCTCTCATCAATTTGGCCCACAGTGAAGATTGGGCTCTAAATTTGATCCAAAGCTTGCAAAGATTAATCTGAAAGTGTTGGTTTAACCCATTAAAACCAATACCCCCAGCTAACTGAGGTTTAGCAACCTTCTGCCAGGATGCCCAATTTATCTGCTGCCTTTGACCGACCACAAGAATCTATTAAATGCTGTTTCAAGTTGGATTTGAGTGTTTTTTCTTAATATTTTTCATCTACAAAATATAAGAAGGAAAAGTTGTTAGAATGCTCTTTAATAATGTAATTCTACACCCATTAGATAGAAAAGATTGGGTCCACCCATTTAGAAATGAAGAGATCTTATTGATGACTTCCTCAAATTGTATTTTCTTAGTTCTGCCAGTAAGGAGGAGGACTCCTAGATACTTGATAAGGAGTTGGGAATTAGAAAATCCAGTGTAATTGGAAGCCCATTGTTTGCAGTTATGGGAGGCATGCTTATGGAAAATCAGCTGGCATTTTTCAGGATTAAAATACATCCCAGAGTGTTCTTGGAATTTTTGAAGGGTCTGAAACACTTTCTTCACAACATTCTTGTGGGCTCTGAAGAAAACAATGATATCATCAACATAGAGAAGATTAGTTATTGCTATGTAAGATCTATGGTGATATCTAGTATAGCTTTGGTTCAGAAAGGTTTCATCCAGCATTCTAGACAAATAATCCATTGCAATTATGAAAAAAGTGGGGGATAGTGGATCCCCTTGTTTCAAACCTCTAGGTGCAGGGAAGGACCCCCAACCTTTACCATTGATAAGTATTGAATGTTCATTATTGTTACGCAATCTTTTGATAAGTTTACAAAAAGCAGTATTGAAGCCTCTAGCAGTAAGGATATCTATTAAAAAATCCCAGCTAATAGTATCATAGGCCTTCCTCAAGTCCAATTTGTAAATCAAATTACCTCCTCTGCAAGTCTTTTTCAAATCCTGTAATAATTCCTGAGCCAAAAGAGTGTTGTCAATAATAGATCTTCCCTTCACAAAAGCTGTTTGGTTGGGTTTAATGATGCAGTCAAGGTGAGGCTGAAGCCTATTGACTATGATTTTACTAATAACTTTACTGAGTACAGTAGTTAAACAAATTGGCTTGAGATGATTCCAATTTTGCTGAATTTCTAACTTGGGAACCAAAACAAATGTAGAAGCACAGAAATACTTTGGTAGATTATTTCCTTGAATGAAGCTAGTCACTACAGCAATGACCTCAGGCTTTATAGTCTCTCAAGATTTTTTGTAAAACTCAGCAGTAAAACCATCAGAGCCAGCTGATTTGTTGCTATCAATAGAATTTATAGCCTCTCATATTTCTCTTTCATTTGGGATTTCTGTAAGGTTGAGATTTGCAGTGTAGTTCTGATCAACAGAGAAATATGCTTTATCAATAGGGATTCTGTGATTCTGCACTTGATTTAATAGGTTTTTGTAGTAGTTAATTGCATCATGAGCTATCTCAGCATTATCATGTAACAATTTCCCCTCTGTATTTTGAATTGTATGGATAGTATTACACTTTCTCTTGTATTTAATATAGGCATTGTAGAATCTAGTGTTTTTATCCCCATCAGTAAAAATATTCATAGCAGCCTTTTGCTTAAGAAATCTTTCTTGATAGTAAATAGCAATGAGAAGGTTGTTTTGAGCAGTAAGCAAATCCTTTTCCTCCAGTATGCCTTTCTGATCTTCTTTCTCCAATCTTAACACTTCATTTTTAGCAATTTGAACATTAGTAATAACATTTACAATACCCTCCCAACTCCAGTTTCTAAGTGCTTTGGCAGTTTTCATTTGTAGAAGACTAAGTTTGATGAGAGGATCAGGATGTGAGATTCCTCTCCAGAGATAAAAAAATATAAGACTTATATGATGGGTGAGAAGACCACATGTTGAGGTATCTAAAAGGTGGAGGGGAAGAGGTCAATTCATTAGAAGTGATGCTGATAAGTATAGGCCTATGGTCAGAGCCAGCAAGGCTGAGATGAGTTACAAAGGTAAGGATTAAACCAATTATCATTAACTAAGACTCTGTCCAGTCTTTCCCAGATGGCACCCCTCTTCCAAGTGAAAGCAGGCCCCTTAAAACCCAAATCAAAAAGACCAGCACTGTGTATATTATCATTGAATGTGTTCATCTTCACTAAATTAGGGGCTCTCCCCGCAGTTTTTTCAAAAGAAGATGAAATACAGTTAAAATCTCCCCTCACCAATTATGGGGAAGACATCTGCTGGCTGATATTCAGTAGACACTTCCAAAGCTCTTTTGTATCCTCCTTTGTGCATCCTACATATATAAAAGTAGCATATCCCATATGACCATTAACATTAAAAGAGAAATGAACAAATTTCTGGTGGTTCATTAAAATCTTCCAAGTGATCTCCTTTCTGCAGAAAATCCAGATTTTGTTATTGGAATTAGCAAAATGGTTGAAACCAGTAAACTTTTTAATCAAATTATGAGGGTTACTGTGAACCATAGGTTCTAGTATTGTTATACACCATAGCTTGTATTTGAAATTCAAGTGAATCAATCTTTTGAGGGAGAGGGAATTAGTCATCCCTCTGATATTCCAATAAAGAATGTTAATCATTGGATGGAGAGCGATGGAAAGATGCTTGTGATCTTGATCTGGTTCTGCCTCTATGGGTAGGAGAACTAATCTTTGTTCTTGCTCTTCCTTATACCTTCATTGAGTTAGCCCCTTGTTGTAATTTCTGCACTTCTGATACTGGTTTTTTCTTTCTTCTAGCTGTTTGGATTTGTCAATCTTCTTCAATTGTCTCTCTTAGTCCAGTAATTATATGATCCTCAGGGACTTTGTTATAGGTTTTTGTATTAACAAAAGCTCCCATCTCCACAAGTGGAGGGGTGATCAT